GCTTTATAGCTACATAACTATAAAACTGACATAACCCTTATATAAGAGAGTATCCCAAGGGTGGACTTAGCAATTATATGACAAAAGGCAGTTATAATAAATATGTTTAAATTTGACAAATAAATATCAAATAATTACAAAAAAATCATGAAATGAACAAACAAACAAATAAAAACAAAACAAGCATGTGTAGTCTTGCCTTCCAAGATTAAAGGTGTTGTTTTTGATATCTAGGTGTTGATGATCAATGGGACGTCTTAAAGATATGCAGACTGGAAAGGCAAAAACATCTCATTAATTACATAATTATATTATTAAGGTAAACATGCCCAATTGTGTAGCTAAGACCCTTTCAAAATTACACTACATAAAAAGATTAAAATTAATGTAAATTCTGGGAGAAACGTACACTCAGAAAAAAAATCCGAGTCCCAGGTGGGATTTGAACCCACGATCCTCTGGACTTTTTTTACAGTGAGTATACATTTCTCCCAGAATTTACACTTAATATCAATTGCTGTTGTTGTTTCTCCGTTAGTATACTCAAAAAGATTAAACTTTGAAATTCAGACATTGGACATGCTTAACATCTGTAACAGGACCTCTGTAAAAAGCAAGTTGAGGGAATTTTGAGAAGACAACAGATTGAAATGCTTAAAGAAGCATCAGGTGTAGCCAAGCACTTCTTGGGAGTTCTTAAAAATTTGCGCTTAATTCCTTATATTATTACTCAAAATAGAAAAGAAAACAAGTTGCTATTTCTTTTATAGTATCTTCATGGCATGCATTTTGAAACACAAAATACAAACGTGTGCAATGTAGCAGTGTTTTGAAACATCTTTTTGCAAAATTATTTTTAATTCAACAAGTTTATACAAAGGAAATCATGACTGGGAAGGTGTTTGGATATTTGATATTAATTAGCAGAGATTTGTACGATTGATTTTTCTGTTGACCTCTGTTTTGTCATTATTTTTATAGCTTCAATTGAGAACTCTCTACTCTGTGTTTAGAAGTGTGGTCCAACATGGTCTGTTTGCATTGATATAAATTACTTAAAACTTTACAACTGTCTGTAAATGTGGTCCAAACAGTCTTGAACTATTTGATATATTATTGAAAAATTTTGAAACTATAAAAATAAGGACAAAACTAGAGGTCAACATACCAATCATTTTGCATGACACAAGCAGGATCATAGGTTGTTTAAACTGACGTCAATCTACCCATCCAAAGTACATAGTAGCCAATAACTTTTCATTAACGCAGTCAGCAATCTTTCTTACCCTCAGTTATGTTGGGATTAAACACATAAGTGTTGTTTACAATCCCTCCATTGGCATAGTAACTGTAACACAATTGCACTCGTGGAGGGTCAGTGCCATTGACCATCTTTGTATAGTTGTATGTCCCAAGAGGGACTGTTCCAATTTGATAATACTGTAAAATAAAAGGCAGAAAAAACTTTTGACTACTAAAAATGCTGCCCAGTAATAAGGAAATATAATAAACCAAAACTTCAAAGTAGGAAGAGTTTCGATGACTATGAAACACAAGAAATCATAAGTTTGCTAAAGTCCTTTCATTAGTAGTTAGCTATTTATAAAGAACTGAGATTCTTGAGTATCATTATCAAATCAATATTTAGTTAATTAATTAATATTTAGTGCAACCAGCCCCCCCAATTTTTTCGACTAGTTTTCCCAATCACTCAGACCAGCGCAAAAATTATTTTGATTGATAAAATCCCCAGTATTCTACAGGCACTTAAAGTTGTAATTTCTTATAATGCTCATGATTGTGCAAAGTGGGATCTGGCTTGGATTTCTAGTGACATCATCGCAGGAACTGTGCTGAAAGCACTCAAGAGACATTTCACTGGGCTTAGAGTGCTGTGGAAACAGAATGGGGCTCAGAGAATTGAATTGAAGATTTGACCATAGCAAAATTTAGAACTGATTTTAAGTAATTTATAGCAATCAGCATTTTTCATCCAAAAAAAAAAGGCCAGGTGAAATCTGACAGTTTGACAGACTGAGAAAAACCAGGACTGCTTGTAGTCACCAAAAAAGCTTTTTAGATTGCTGGCCATAATAATCTGTGCTTCTCTCAAAATCAGGCAGGGAGTATGGTGAGATGATTATTAGATCAGAATGGATTGTGATGTGACATCTTGCTCAAACTCCTTCACATCCATACTGCCCTTTTTGGAGGGCTGTGGTTAAGTTTTGAGTTAAGTTTTGAGAACTTGTTACTTTGTGGGTGAATTCTATCAAGTGAACAGGAAAGTTCAACCGCAACATTGAGGGTCAATCAAGTATACTCAGCCGTAACAGGTGTTAAGGGTTATGACCCTTAATTTGAGTGAGCCCTGTTGCAGAGAAAGCATGCTGACTTTAATAAACATTTATGGCATACCTGTTCATGAGCATAGTGAAGATGATCGTACAGTTCTTTTCTTGTGTACACGACAACATCCGATTCCGGGCCCTTGCTTTGATAGTCTTTAAGAAACAAGTGTTTCAAGGCAGTGTGATTATTTTCCAGGAATGTTACCAGTGAAAAGCGATCCAATCCAAACAAACAAATCTGTAAATTAACAGTTAACCAAAAATACTTCAGTCTATTTAATATGTAGTAAAATATACTGGTTAGGTGTTAGATGTGGACAATGAGAGATGTTTGGTGCCATTTAAATATCTGTAACCAATGGAAGATCATTGGAAATTCTGACAGGTTTGGGGATCAAAAATTATGCTGAAAGAGAAAGCTCTAAAGTATGTTGAAAGTATGAAGCTAACCTGAAATTTCCCCTGATGGGGGGAAGGGGGTTCAAACCAACAAACGTTCCTTGGGGGTATGGATATTTGCTGGAACAACACAATGACTGAAAGTTGAACAATTTACACTTGTCTGGTGATATATCTATATGTCCCATATACCAGGGGCGCTCCCATGTAAAAAGGAAGGGGGTGCTTTTCGTGCTTTTTAGGGGTTAAGAAAAGTGGTTTTGGTACCTCACAAGATGCACAACAGGCGCTCTTGCAGTACATTTTGGGATATCAAGCCAAAAAAATGACAGGAGATAACGTGTTGCTTTAGAATTGGTACCTCTTAGGTGTGAAAAAAATTTCAAGCCACATCTCCAAAACAGGAGATTAGTGCCTATTAGGGGTTCTTCTCAAAACTTCTGACAAGAACCCCCCGTCCTTTTTAGAAGGGAGTCCCCCCCAGGACCCATACAATATGATACAATACGATAACTTTATTTCTACATGGCATTTCCATCAGTCTTTCTTTAGTCAGTCCCAACTGTCCAACAAGACCCTTAACCCTTGTTTTAGTGCCAAGTGATGGGATGCTGAAGGGCACCTTCTCAGTTATTTTTCATGCATCGCACAAATACACTTTATTGAGCATCCCTGAAAAGGGTTTTTCAGCATCAATATTAAAATAAGAAATAAATAGAAGAGATAACTTTAAAAAAAGAAACGAAAATCACCATCCTGATTCTAAAAATATTATATTGGTTGGTAATAAGTTAATTTAGTACATAACTCTTTCTCTTTATCTAAAATAATTTTTCAAAATTATATTTGGCGTATATAACCTGTAAACAAGATAATGTCTAATTCACAAAGAAATCTTTCCTACAAGCCGAGATTGGTTTATTTGGATGTAAATATTTCAAAATCAAACATTTCGTTGCGGAAACTTCTCAGAACCAGTGCAAGACAGAGGCGGGAGGGGGCGGGGGGGGGAGTGTAGATATGAGAAAACAATTTCCTCAGTTGTCAAAAAGAGTAGATCAATCGACTTTATACATTCAGTTGCTTCTTAGTTGACCATAGAGGGGACTTAACCCACTAGCAACTTGTGCGGGGTTCACAAAGTTTAAATTTTGAATACGCCACAACCTGTTGTTGATCAAAAACTCCGCCGTTTGTTTCCCTCATACGTCACTGTTTTTAATAGAAAGGAAGCTGTTGAGTTTCTCTAACTTTCTTGAGTTATTTACTCATACCTGGATAGTTATAAGGAAAACTTTTACAATCTGAACGACCAGTTTCCAAGGTTTCCGCCGTCTCGCTCGAAATTTTTGGAATGGATTCATGTAGTGATATTTTATCTTTGTTTTCATGACTGCTCGTAAACGTGGACTCGGTTGAGGGCTGCGTTCCAATATGTGTCCTGTATCTGAGTCTGTACGAAGTTCTTCAGAAGTCTGTTCTTCTTCTCCAAGCGAACCCTCAAACACCGACCTTCGCTCCATGTCGTCCTCTCTTTCTTCCTGAACAGTTCCCAGATCACTTGAGCAAGAGCGAGTAACGGACGGCTTGCGGTAAATATAGATTTCCTTTGATGGAGATGTCATAATATGTCAATATGGCTTGTCGCAGACTAAAACTCACAAAATTAGAGACCAAAATTTAGCTTTCTAGTTAGTTAACCCAGCAAAGTTTTATCGTGAAATTCACAGCACTTGGAGCGTCTTTGTTTATGGTATTTCGAAATAATTCAGCTCATGTGACAGGCACATGACCATCGCGTTACTTTTGCAGGATACTGCGTGCTCGACTGCGTGTTCCAACTTTTTCTTGAAAATTTTAAATTGCAGTTCAATCTTATGTTAAAAGTACTTCAGACCGACGGTAGAACTGCTATGTCAGTCTTCAAAAAGTAGAAACGTGCAAGCCGGAGAACTTTTCAATATTTTTGCAGGGGGTATTACGCGAAATTTTTGGCAGGGGTGTCAGGAGAGCACGCATTACACTGCGCACCCTCCCGTCCGCTCGGCCTAATTTTCGCGCGACCAGCAGGCGAGAAACTCGCTCGTGCTATGCACTTCACATTCTTTCACCTTACCCCATTTCAGTGATTTTTGATACCTTATTTGAGACCTGCTCTAAGAAATCGATACCCTATTTCAGAACTCTAAAATCAGTACACGTCTCTAAATACGCGAGCTGACCATCAATGGCTTCCGATTCCATTAGCAAGAGAAAAAGGCTTAAAGATTCCTTGGTATAAATGAGGGAAAAAAGTTTATTCATCTAGACATCATACCCCATTCAAGGCTGGCCAGTGTGAAAAACAAATCCTATTTCACCCTAAAATCGCTAGAATGGTCAAAATCTATACCCCATTTTCGACCAAAATGTAACTCTTTTATGCGTCATTTAATGGGGTACCCAAATGAGAATTTTTTTACGTATCTCATTTGTTCGAAGATAATTTTAAAATCACGTTTTCCAATGAACTATATCGATTTCTGAACGAAAAAGAGAGAAGAGAAACCGCGCGGAATCCGCGCGGACGCGCGCGGGCAACATGAGCGGAAGAATCGCAAAGAATTTCACGCAATCATACTGAGTCAGCTGTTTCGCTCTCGAAAGTCACGCGTTCAGCGAACACAAGATGGCGGCTAGCGCGAAAGATGAACTCGGTAAATTACAAATTAATGTTCTTACCATTTAGTATATCGGCCACCTTGGGCTAAAACACGAGGAAACAAACAAAGTCTAAACAAAGAATGTGTCAGTAACATTTTCGTTTTTTCTAGAACTCCTTGAAAGGGTATTTCTCCGAGTCGCTTCAGCTGAAACAGACGACCAACTTGAGAAAACAGTTAAAACCTTCTTGTGTCCTCTTTTACTAAAAGTTGCTAGCCCACACCAAGAAGTCAAAAATAAGGTAAACGAAAAGGAAGTAATGTTTTAATTTTATATTTACTATTAAGCGTAATTTCCTCCCAGATTTAGTTGTTTTCCTTTTTATATTTCTCTTTCCCAACTTTATATTTTCGAGTTTATTAAGCTTTTTAATATATAAGCCTATTAGACGCCGGTCGCGTCATTGCCACGGGTGCTTTTTTCAACTTTAGACATTGGCTAAATTGCAAAATTCTGTTGCCAGGGCTGGAAAGGTCGCCTTATAATTAGTAATCATAATATGGCCATGTTTGAGAGTGCTATATTACAATATAGCGAAAACATGGTTCCACTCGGGAGATTTTACTGAGGTTCGCTGCTGGTGGTATAGTGAGCGTGTTTGGGAAGGGAGGTGGAGGGGAGGGGAGGGGGATGGGGAGCCAACTTTCCCGCAACCTAGAAGGATCTGCAAATTTGTGAGGACTGGAGGGCAGCCTGTGTAACCAGTATGTAACATTGTCATTTTACTAGTCTAGATAAGGCTGCTTAAGGCTATGTGGGCCTTGGAATCATTGTTTATCCTATTTTCTGAATGCAGGATTAAGTCACAAGGAGTATTTTAACCCCCCAGCCTTTTGGAGGGCTACCCCCAGCGTTAGCATGTTTACTGGTACCTGGTTTATAGACTTGGGTGGAGAGAGGCACTGTGGGATGGAGAGTAATGTAACATCCCCGGCAGGTCTTGAACCCATCTACTGCTGCAATCATTTAGAGTCCACCATGCTAAACATTAGGTCGTCACATCTCCAAGAGATACTAGATACAATTAACAAACCTGGCTATCTTACTAATGTTAAGTTGCTCTTTCTAGCAATAACTTTCAACTTAAGGTTGTTTCATTATGTTAACTTGTATTCTTTAAATCACCATAGGTGATGACCTTGTTGACTCATCTCAATAAGCGTTTAAAGAGCCGGCCAAAGATTCAACTCCCTGTGGATTCATTGCTCTTGCAGTATCAAGTAAGTTAATTAAGTCAAATCGGAGTTGTAAGAATTACACCAGTGCAGTGGATAGGCGTTTTTATCCTTGATTTATTCTCTACTTTTGATTTTTCAAAAAAGGAAACAAAAGAAGAAAATATATTAGGGATAAAAATGCATGCACACTGCACTAATAAATATTTATTTTTGAAAGTTCTCTGGTTTGGCTTTTTAAAAATAATTTGCTTGTGACAAAATTTCAAGCATTTGTTGCATTTAGATTAAAGACACACATTCAACTAACTGCAAAAGACATGGGATGGGATTAAGGTTTTTGAAGGCTTTCAAAAAGTGCTGGTGACAATTTTGCTTTATACAGAAAACTATTTGCTGCCTACATGTACTTCACACTGGAGTTCACTAATCCTGACTGATAACAAATCCTGACCTTCACTGCCTTACAACGTTGTTATCCTGTGTGTTACTACAAAATAATTATTTGACTGTGGTGAGAGAGTGCTCATGTCTTTAGTCTCAGGGAACTGTTTTGTATGGAAATTTAATGTAATAAGTGAAATGCATCTGACTCTTCAATATCCTTCACTGTTTGTTTTTAGGATGTTTCAATTCCAGCCTTTGTAGCTGTAAGTATAGACTGAAATTATAGTTAATTCTTATCCAAAATGTTGTAGACCATGATACTACCCTGCAAGAATAAAATAGTCAGAATAAATTGAATGATGTGATACAAACAAATTTATGCTCTCTTCAGGGCTGTCATTAAGGTTTAAGTCTCCTGTGACCTTGTTCTCCACACCGGTAGTAAATTTTTTTCTTTGTGGGTTAATGCTATCAAATGGAAGCATCAAGGGAAAATCAATTATACTCAGCCGTAACAGGTGTTATGGGTTACGGCCCTTAATGACAGCCCTGCCCTTGCTTTTTCATCTTAGGTCTTTTAACGTTGACTAAATGATTACTGTAGTATTCTACACCCTGGATTGAAACGCTCAGGGTTCAAGCCCTGGCCAGGATTATTGTACTGTGCTTTTGATAAAGACACTCTACTCTTGTACTACCTCTCTTTGCCTACAGTAGGTGTACAAATACTAAGGGGTACTTGGGTTTTCAAGTGACAGGGATAATTGAATGGGGGCAAAATTAGACCTCGAAAAAATTGTAATATTTGATAGATGGGCTAGTGCAGCAAAGCAACATCGTGGGTGTCAGTGTCAGGTACTGTCACTCAATTTGTAAGGGTCAAATGAATGTGTAACATCTATGACTGGTAATTTTGTTTCTACATACTGTGTTATAGAACTTTGCAATCTTGTACCTAAGGATGGGTTTCCCAAGACTACCACCAGAAACACAAATGGAATTGGCACCACTACTAATTAAATGTATTCAAGATAAGCCACAGCCTCAACAAGACTGGTGAGATGTTTTGTGGCTAGTAATTAATTTTACTGTGAATATGTCAAGGATGATGACAGGTTGGGTCAGACACTTAGAGTACTTTCCATTATGCTGGGCCAACCAGTCAGAGACCCGTGTGATTAACCAAGCAAAATAGAACCTCATTTTTTGATTAAACCTGGCCAACTGAAAGAAATGGCTCTTACCATTTTCTGTTCATTTCCTCAATCTCCTACGTAAGTTGAAATCTAATGAAGAGAAGTAGGGTAACGAACTGATTTGTCAGTTGAAAATGGAATGGCAAATTTTGGTCCAACTGGTCAGACCAATTAAAGCTGACCACCTTTGGAGGTGGTTCTGAATAATCCTGTTGAGCCAAACCAAAATAGACCTTTCCACTTGACTTGCGACCAAAATTTCTGGAATTTTTGGCATAAAGGAAAGCACCCTCAGTCTTCCAGTGCCTGTGATTTATTTCATTTTTGGTTCTAGTGATTGTGAATAATTTTTAGCGCCCTTTTTTTTTAAAAATGAGACATGAGCCACTCAGGGTTGACAACTTTCATAAGCGCTGTTTCAGGAGAATGGAAAATTTTACCTGGAAGGTAATGAAATTACCAGGCATCAGGATAATTAAAGTTTTCAACAGGAAGAGAGAATGATATTATCCATGTATGCATAATCAGCGCATTGCAAAGAACTGGAATAAAAACATTGCACATAATTTTCCAAGAGTCAGAGGAATGCTTCACTAGGGACTTTTTAACGATTGAAATTAACCCCTGGCTGATAATAAAATAACGTCATTTAATAATTCAACTTCCAAGTTATATGTAAATGTAGATTGATGAGAAATACAACTCCTTTTCATCTCTCAGCCTTCTTCAACTGGTTTTACCAGTATTGGGCCAAATGAAGATTCCAGATTCCATAGATGAAAGACAGAAGATGTTTGAATTCAAAGAAAAGCCAGTAGTGGCTGGGATATTGTTGGACTTTCTTCTTGATGTTCTGTTGATGCCATACAGGTTTGTGAATTATCTTTAAAAAATACAGAGCTCGAAAAAAAGAAAAGAAAAAAGAAAAAAACCTTACAAACTGTTTCAATGTTCTTTAACAGGTTCAATGTTACGATACGGCATTCACGTTTAACCTTTAATTTATTTTCTTAACAACAGACTGAAGTAATTTTGTTTAATTTATTCTCATTTGAAATCAGCAAATCCACTTTTGTACTTTAATTAGACAATTACCTCATTTTCGTAATATATAGAATATTAATAAATTAAGTGAACTGATTTACTTTCTAGTCTAGCACTAGAAATTTTCTCCAATTACAAAACTATAATATTTATTTACAAATAGATAAGAAAGTGTGATTGTTGAAAGCCTGTTCACTCTTCAACCATGACATTTAGCCTGCAGGTCACAACAATGGAACCAAATTATTGCAATCTATTAGGGAGTTTAAGTAATCACCTTGGCAATGCTAATGAAAAATTATTTTATATTTTACCTAGTATGATTCTTGCAGTACCCTAAAGTCATTTACTTTGTTTATCGCTGTCAAAACTCTCATGAAACTGAATCTGGGACACAGCGATAACTTTGAAATAAAAGTTTAAAATCTTAGTTGTTGTGGTTCATGTTCTCCAGACAATGCAGAATTTGGTCATTTCACGTTGTTTTGCAGAGGACAGCAGAGAAATGTGCAAAAAATTATAACGCACATGCACAACTGTTGTTCTGCTCACTAAACCTTTTGTTTAGCAACATTCCCGTAGCTGTTGCCGTCATTTTTTTCTTAAAATCCCTATTGTTAATTTCAGCACCACATCAAAGCAACCAAGTGTGGACACACCAGGCTCTGAATCAGACACAGCAGAATCAGAACAAACCTCAGCTTCTTCTCCAGACTCCTTGGCTCCACCAGGGATGAGTGTGGCTGCAGTGAAACGTGTCACTGCTGATTCTCCTTTGGAGTCAAAAAAGCTAGAACAGGTTTATTATATTTGTGCACATTAAATAATGGGTCTGAAGAGGACTTAAGCCATACCACACACATTCTCAAACTCAAATATAATTTTAAGTTTAAACTTAATAAGTAAATCATGACCGTGATGGTGTTTGGATATCTGCAGATCTTAATTACCACCGATTGTTATGATTTTCTCTGTTTTCTCCTTAGTTTTAGTTTTGATTAAGAAGATATGTCAAATATTCAAGACAGTGTTTGACCACATTTCCAAACACCTCGAAGTTCGTCAAAAATACTCCGCCATGCATTGTATTTTCAACTCTCTTCATGGTGGTTGGAAATGTGATCAAACACGGTCTTTCATACCTGACATATTACAAGCAGACTGTGTGGAGCTGGCGGTCAGGATATGATTTCAAATTGAATACGTCTTTATAGTTACTGTATCGAAACATTTGCTAATCTATGAAGTGATGTCAGAAACAAACCTTTGCTGTTAATCTTGATATCTTTTCCTTAATGCTTTTTTTTTCAGATGAAGCTTGGAGCTCTTAAATTCTTGGCACGTGATTTATTTGAGCCCAGTGACGTGATTTGCCATTTCCTGGCTGCCACAGGAGATACTCGACACAGGTAAAAGTTCTCATCACCTCATTCTACAGACACCAGAGTAGCCTGCTCACAGGCTTTCTTGTTTGAGGTTCTACATGAGCAGTAGCCTGCGATCAGGTGTATTTTTTGGGGGGGGAGGGTGAGGGTGAGGGCGTAAACATGAGTAGCAATTTGAGAGCCTGAATTTACCAACGCTCCACTGGATTGTAAACTTTCTTACAAGAAAGCCAAAACAAGACCTAGATAAGAGAACAGCATGAAACCTGGACATCTTTGATGAGCCTTGGGATTCAAATCAACTTGGTTTCGAGGGGCTAGGTCACACAATTTTAAACAATTTCAGCTATGATCAAATGGTCATAGAATTGACTAAAATATCACAAAAAATGGTTCAAAACTATAGAAGATCTCAAACAAAACACAGGAACGCCAAGAAGGAATATGGATGGACAAAACTGGAGAGGATTAAAATGGGTTGTATTTGGGTAAATTTGAAAAACATCGGCCTACCTTTTTTCAAATTTATATCAGTTTATATCAAAATGTCATTTACACAGCTGGAAAATCATTCTCAGTTGTTATGTGGCTGTGATTTTGCAAATGAAAGACTTTTGCTCTGCCAATTTGATGTTTAGATCTCATAATTAAAAAAATTAAACAAAATTACCTAAAATAGCGTGACCTAGCCCCCTTAATTTGTTAATTACATATATTTGTAATTTTCCTGGTTTCCGATATGAAAAGGAAAATCAACCTGGTTTGAAGAATGTCAAACAAAAAGCAAAATTATAATATAATTTGTGTTTTATTTGTTCTTTAATAACAGTGTACTGGACACAGCAGATCATGAATTGAAAAGAATATCAAGGTAAGGATTAGCTCTTAATATGTGAAAAAGACAGGGAAATATAAAGTTATGCATTGTGCATTGTGACACTGCCTCCCCCAACAAAAAAAGCGATAAAATACAGACGAAAAAGAAAAACATGTATACAAAAAGTCAGGGACTTCAATCTTGCCAAATCTCCAAAATGTTTATGTTTAAATGTGTAACCTATTAAACAATACTTCATACATTACTTTTTACCCTCCCCCTTCAATGTTGAATACTCTTCATAACATTGATCATGTGTCTGTCAATTTTAACTTGAGTTTCCCTCGTTAACAGCCGCGTCGGGATTATAGCAAATCATATATGTGTACTTATCATTGGCAACTTACATTTCAGCTCTACAGACTTTGAAAATCCCAAGGTTGTAAACAAGATGTTTGGCATGTTCCAAGGAACTACATCCATTGCTGGATCAGCACAGCAGGTACAGTAATACATTAATAAAACTGAATAAAGTTATTTATTATTTTATTAACAACTGGATCATTGGATAACACAGTTCAAGAGTTTCCAACTGGACCAGAACTGTCTACTAAGCAAGGACACATTGATGGAATCGTGGAAGTAGCAAAGTTTCCTGTAAGATGGTTTCATCTTCTCCATTGTCCTTTCACACTCTAGAAACTGAGGTTTAAGGAACACAGTCTCGGTGCTTTGAGTTGTCTTGGCCACGTACAAAATTACATGTACCTTAAAATTGAAGGAAACCTGAAAATAATAGTTTACTACTTAAAACAGAAAAATGCTGAAGAGATAATGACAGACCATAAAGGAGCAAGGATGGTTATGGATGGAGAAGATTAACATGGATTACAAATGTTAAACTTGAAAAATGTGAACTAAACTTTTCAAGATGCGCAAACCTTGACTAGCTCCTTTAAGTGGATCTCCGTTGAGCACAGTTTGCATCTTTTATTGTTTAAATCTCAAGGTAAAATAATTATTACCGGTAGTCTTTTGTAGAATAATTTATTTTGTGTGTTCCAGGCAGCACAAATCCCAGCAGACCAGAAGAGGTCCCCAGCTGGGATTAGACTGAAGCAGAGAATATATCCTTACCTTCTGAGATCCAGACGAGCTGCAGATCAGTTTCCTGCTTGTCTTCAGGTATATATGTCAAGATAAATATATAAATTACAGCAAATAAAATAAGCAAGCTCACTTGGTTATTAACAGTTCTAGGTAGAAATCTAACTAAGGTGTTAGCAAAAACACTGCCCACAGTAGGTGTTACAGGCACTGAAGAGACAACTGCAACAAAACAGCTGGTGAATTTGTCTGATTTTGACTGAAACATTGCCTAATGATTTCTTTGTCCTAACTTGATCATTTTATTTTTTCAATGTATAAAAGTTCCTGGCAGCACTTACTTGTTATTGTGCAGTTTAGCAGTGAATTTAGAGTTGTGGTACTTGTCGTGTGATGAGATATTTCACAGACCTGTTCTGATTGCTGGTGAGGAATGTGAAAGTTTATTCTGATGACAAATTGACACATAAAACATTTCCTTCCCCAACAAAATATCCTCGTCAGTATCATTTTTAGGCTTGAAAAAAAAATTGTTGTTGTTGTCATACACAGATTATTTTTGATAGCTTGTTTGGCAAGGACCTAAATGGCAAGTTGCGTGTGTATGCTGTCCAGTTTGTTCACCATATCTGTCTGTGGAGTTCTGATAAAGTTATTAACATGATGGGCCCAGTTCTTCTTAGTGGAATGACAAAGCTGATCAATGAAGACAAACAGGTTTGTATTCATTTCTTGATGATGTTACTTGCAGAATAAGATTTGAAAATTTGGTGTCCAGAATATCAACTTGGAGACTGTGTTGTCGCTCAGATTTTGTTTAAACCTGTTTGCTTATATTACCAGTGTACATATTATAGTTTTATGTACAACATATTGTTAGAAACAATGATATTCATTGGTTGTTTACCATTTGTGCCTGAAAAACTGGTTTGTCAATGGTTTGTGCAAATGGAAGCAAAAATGCCTGATGGTACTGTAAGTTCCATTCAGATTGGCTAGTTACCATTTACTCGACCCCCCCCCTTCCCCCAACCCCAATTTACCAAAAGAGACTAGGATGAGTNCGTGGCAGTACGGACTGAGCGCAGCGAGTTCTGTACAAAAACGACTGAGGGCCACTATTCTTCCAGAACGGTTCAAGCAAGTTAGGTTAATAAGTAGCTTACTATATGGCAAAAAATAAAGAAGGACACGGCTTATGACCTTTTCCATGGAAACAGTCCGTATAGCAAAATCCCGACCAAGAGAAAAAAAACAATAAGGACGCTCGGATTTACCTCAAGACCACCTTGCCATGTAATAAATCAGGGATTTTTTGAATTATGTACATGTAACTACTGTTTGTGAATCTTAGCTAGCTGTAGACGGGTACCGTCTTGTTGAGTCATTCAGTTCTAAACTCGCTCAACTGTAGGAAAGATGATGTCAAAGAAGAAGCTAAGAAGGGACTGAGGGCAGTGCAAGTTGTTGATCGGACATCAACTGAAGACAGTACAAACAAAGATATCCTTCCAGCCTTTCCTGATATGGTGTCATATGTGGCTCGCAAGGTACCTAGTCTGAAACTCAACTTCCTTTAACTCATAAACATTAAGTGGAGGCGGCGTGGCCTAGTGGTTAGGGCGCTGGATTTGTAATCCAGTGGTCACGGGTTCAAATCCTCCGTTTCTGCTCAATTTACAATGTTTACTTGCTGTTTTCAATGTCTCCAATTAGTAGTGCAGCAGTGCTAAACACTTGGACACTTCAACAAAGTGATTAATTTTTATTTCATTCAAATTCTGTCTGCAAGGAGTGACGTATACTTTCAATGTTGAAGCCTGGTTTCCAGTTTAATTTGGCGATGTGAACTCAAACTTTTCCCCAATAGACATTTCTCATGGTATTTTAGATTTTGATGTAGGTCAGGTAATGAAAATCCATGGACACCTGAAAAGATCACATTGAAAAATTGCAATGCATTATAGGGCGATTTCGAACATGGTCAGCCATTTGGAGGTTTTTCGATGTGAGGGAATCCTTTACAGCAAAGCAAAAGGAGGGATTGACTCTCTTTCAATAACACTTTCTGGAAGGTTATAATGTCTGAGAAAATAGCCGTTATTGATTGTCAACAGAGAGAAGCGTAGTCGCCATTATGGCGACTAAACCAGAATTTTGGGTCGCCAAATATGAAATGTTAGTCGCATTGGCGACCGTATCGGTTACAATTTCGAGCCTTGTCAACTGAAGGCAATCTGGATTAAGTTACCTTATGTTGGCAAAAGAGGCGAAATGCCGCTTGTTAGCATTTGTATCAAGAAACTAAATAGACTATTTCGTAATAGGTCAAGTTTATAATACGTTACGATACAACTTACATGTAAATTTCACAGCTTTGTTCCAACAGGGACCCTGCAGTTTCTGCACTGCTGAAATCTAGTGTAATTTATAAACTTTCTTGTCCTGGTTGTTTACAACAAAACATCGGTGAAACAAAACGCTCGTTAACAGGCTTCGTGAACACACTACCAGGCCAGAACAACCAATAATTAAACACCTCGGCAATTGTAATAGCTTTAATGAAGTAGTTAGCTTCTACAAATTACCTGATTTCACAATGATTTACCATCTACAGTTGTCAATCTCAAAGAACACATTTCTAATGATGTTGACTTCACACTTACTTTGAGGTCATTGACCATAATGACAATTGGTCGCAATTAGCGTTTCTTGAGGCTTTCTACATCAAAAAATCAAGCCTAGCCTCATTAATGAAGGAATCAAAGCCTCTAGAGAGTTAGATCTTTGTCCTTGATTACATCATGTTATGTCATTGCTTGTTTATACGCCCAATTGAAATTAAGCTTGATATATAAGCTGTCGACTTGTTTCGATTTTAATTACATGATTTGACTCTGAAATAGAGCTGAAATCTTGTAAACCTTTCCTCTTTGTAATGAACCAAAACCTAGTTTCAACAATGATAACAATCCTCGGTTTCGTCTTGTATATATTTCACTCCAAATTGTCAGATGGCTTTGGATTTTGCACGGAAAATAGCATCCGAATGTGCCATGATCGTCGACTGGAATCACCTGTAGGTCACTGTTTTAAAGTTTATTGCTTAATTATTTAACTGCAGAGCCTTGAGAGATTGAGAGGAAAATACTGTTACACAGCTGGGACAACTGCACTGCCTTTTGCTCCACCAGTATTTTCACAGGTAAGATAACGAATGTACTTAAAAGAGCTACATCACGGTTTGTGCATCTTGAAAAGTTTAGCCCAAATGGTTTAAATCCGTTGTTTGTAATCCGTGTTAATCTTCTCCATCCTTGACCATCCTTGTTTCTTTATGGTTTACTGTTATCTCTTTGGTATTTTTCTATCTTAGTAGACTATTATTTTCAGGTTTTCTTCAGTTTAAAGGTAATTTTGTACGTGGCCAAAACAACTCAGAATACTGTGTTTGAACTCCTTTAAGAAAGAATAAAATGTGTGCTCATCCATGTGCTTACGATACGTACAGTGTTGCCAGATTTCCTTAGAACTTGCTGTTACCTATTTATACTTCTGTTTTGACTGAGGCACAGTGAATCACAAGTACAACACAATGAAAATAACAAGCCTCAAACGTTTGATTTTCTGTATCTTTGAATGCTATTCCCAGCACACAAAACGATTAGGCCACAACAACTCTCCATACAGTTACCTACAAGTAGCAATAGTTAGTATATGAACTGAATAATGGAAAACAGTTGTTCAGTTGCGCAATCATTTTGGTGTGCCACTTTGTTTTAGGTGTTACTGTATTTGCAAAAATGTCTGGAACATGCAGCCGGAGTAACTGAGGAGGACAGAGTCAAAAACTGCATTCTTCCACCTGTTGGAGAGTACGTGAATAAACTCTTAATTGGAATTAACACTGAAGGTACGAATAATTTTGTTCTGTGCTATGTATAAACGGATGATCACTTCAATCCCTGATGGAAATTTTGGATAGTCATAGCAGAGACAAGCACAATTAATTCTCGGTATAGCTGCATGATACGACAGACTTGTCATAACGTGGTTAGTCGTTTCAGAAAATTACTCAACATACATTTTAGTGTGGGCAACTTGTGAACAGCATCTACGATTTACCACTACGAAATACAAAGGTTCCGAGTACATAGATTAGTGGACATCACCTGGTAACTCTGTATGAAGTTATTTTGATCTTGCAAGTCATTACCCAGCTGAGATGTTTCTGTTAACTGCTATGGGGCGCGATTGCTTTGTGCACTGAAATGTCAACATCAAATCTTTTCCCGTTTGAATTTCCAAGGCATAAGTGTTGACGTTCAATTTTAATATATCACGACCACTAGTAAGCTATGTCTATTAACTACCACTGCTATTCACATTTGTGAATGTTCTTTGCAGACTTTTCATCAAGTGCTATGGGAAAGTACATTGAACTTACACGACAAGCACTCGAGCCTATAGGAGGTATGGAATACTGTGCACGTCTATGTTTTTACAAGCACCACTGCCACAAATTGTTGCTTTAGATCTGGCATCTTTAGTAACATGACGCATTGTATGTCACAAGGTACTACTTAAACAGGTGAAGGTTAATGATGATAAGGTAAAAGGTCTGATGTCACAGGGACACCCACCTTACTGACTTCTCAGCGAGCCGTAGTTGTTGGCTTTGGCTGATTTCTTTTGAGCAGATAATACTATGCTTGTTTTGTCGTCTGATTTCCAGGGATACTTGAGCAATATATTTCTGGTTGACGGCTTCAGCAGTGTAAGCATATGGTTCATCAAGCAGCCATTTGTTAAATGCTCATGGCAAGTTGTAGAGTGGGTGAACTGTGACACTTTATATGATAGCAGTGCAGATATCTGAAACCTTCATCGATGTTGCTATTTTGAGTCATAACAAAACGGTAAAAAAATTGCTGTGTTTACATTCAGTAACAACGTTAAAGTCACGGATTTTAGCCACATTTAGACACAAGAAACCTTTAAAAGCTAGGGTAAAGAATGCGTTGACACTCAAGGGTGTCCACAGGTATAACGTCTTTGATCTTTTTTTACGTGTACATATTCTGGACACTGAAACGTCGTCGCTACTATTCATTAATGTAGGGGCTGATCTCCACGCTGTTGCTATGTGCTGTCTTCTCCAAGCTGTGGCTGTTGCACCTAAACAGTTAGCGGGGATATTCCATGGAAAGCTTGACTGGATCAAGGTTAGTTAGTTTCAAGGTGCTAAACTTAAAGGAGGAGACGAACACTTGTTAACATTATACCAGTTTGTGTTCAGAAGATGCCACATAAGTACATGCAATTGTGGAACCACAACATTGGTTATTCGATACGTGAACATGTTTTCATCTGGCCTTCTACTGCTTTTAGGGTTTCACATTCTCCAGTAGGGAAGATGCCCGGCAATATGCTGGACAATTGCTGGCAGTTGTTACTTGCACCATGAGTGAAGATTCATTTGTGAATGTGATAAAAGAACTTTCTGCCTCTGTTGATAGTGAGGTGAGTTTCGTACTGCAAATACGCCGTAGACACTAGTTAATTCTATCCCTCTCATTATCTAAGAGTAACTTTAAGATATTCTATATTAATGTGAACTGAAGCGTTCATGTGCTGCATGACAGTTCCATAAACAGACATCTTCAAGTTGAGTTTANTTGTCGAGTTTGTTCCTGTGTTAACCGAAAGTCAACCGTGGTAAATCACGTGATTTTACTTCAAGTGTTGTAGCAAAAGTGCACTGAAAGTTCGATATTGTAAGTGATGCACTAATGGTCTACTATGTGGAACTTTTCATTTCTAGTCAGGAGTAATATGATTGTGTTTAATATGATAATATATAATAAGATTGGGTTTAATTTTCGGGTCCCCCATTTTTCTGTCGTTCTCTAGAAGAAACATCCAGTCTAATCCGCAATTTGCGGAACACAAGTTTTTCAATTGCAAGACTGTCAATTGTTAGCCTTGCTAAACAAAGTTGATGTCTTGTTTTATATATTAGCTACTTAATGGTTAACCAAATTCTGAATTCCACCTCGAAATTCTTGTCGTTACAGTTTCAATAACTAGCGATCGGGTTATATTTTAATAGCTGGAATATCTGTAAGTTGTATTTTTGTTGTTCTGTTGTAGATAGTAAAACGCAGTCTTCAGCTGCTGCAGACCCTGTCAGCAAGTTGTCAGTGGTAGAAAAATTACTTGATACTCTGCAGAATGCTAAGGAGAACAAGGTGATTGAGTTGTCAGTTTGTGTAATATCCCTTACGACCATGTGATAAGGAATGTTCGGTTATTTTGGCAGTGCGAGCTCTTATTGTAAATCAGTGAATTCTGTGTCAGTTTTTCCTTCATGAACTGGAGCAGTTTTCACTCGAGTGTCGAAAGTAGTTAACTTCGTATTTGCTTTCGTTTTTTGTGCCATCTACGCATATATTTGCTTCGAACTTTGATTGGTTCACTGGACTGTCTGTGTCCTCTGTGATTGTATAGAGTGATTAATTTGGTTTTGATTTTAAGCACTATAATTGAGTTCGACAATTACCTTTGCTGACCGAGTTGACTAAGACATCTTAAGCTTAACACTGAGATAACGAAAAACAGAGAACGTTTTTGAAATAGAGCGTTTTCACAGGAAGTCACGGTGGCTATCTTAGTGTTCCCAAGCAAGCTCTTTAGACCATTAATACTTTTATAGTACTATTGGGATCGTGCTCTCTGTATTCTTCTCTTACATCAAAATGTCAAATTTAATTTGATTGGCAGGTTAAAGAACATGCCGCCCATGCCCTTGGATTCCTATTGGTTGGAGATGAACATTTCCCACATCATAAGAAACTGATCGATGGCTTGTGTGAGGCTTCCAAGGTGATGAGAGTTCTTTCCTCATTTCTTTGAAAATCCCTACTGTAAACAAAGTTGTCCACGAATCACTATTTTACAACACACTGCAAAGTCTCTGAAACATTCACGGAATTATTGGAGAGCTATTCGATGTCATTTCAAAACTTAGAAAACAAGTGTTTGTCTTTGGTCATCTTTGGTCTTTGACAAATATTAGAAGTCTTTGGACGACCTTTGCAATCTTTGAATGTCTTGAAATACCACCAGTAGTTGTAATATGTTCTCGTGCAGGGTTTCTTTCAAGTCTAGTTTCATGTCCTACCTCTTTCTATCAATCAGAATTGGCCATTTGTCAGTTGTGTCACTTAATATTCAAGGACTACGCGAGACAACACATCAGACCCAGGCCTTGTGTACCAAACGTACCAAGATACGTATTTCCGTATCCGGTAGCCAACCCAACCTACCTACCAAAAATCGAGATTCTTTCTGCTAAGCGCTCGTGCCCAGTTCTCTTGCGCGTAGAATTTATGCTGCGTTCTCCCAAAGGTCGAACGCAATAATGCAACAATTGACAGTTGTTAATTACAAATGTTTGTTGCTTCGGTGAACAGATTCGCCAAGTAGAGCTGCAGTTCACAGTAGGGGAGGCCCTGTCTTGTGCAGGGGCAGGCAGGATGTCTGAAGTAGCCCGTGACCCTTGGGTAGTGGAACAACTTAAAAGCACTGCTAGTGGTGAAAATGGAGGGACCATGCAAGAACTGATTGACATGATTGTCAATAAGTACGCCACGAGTCCAATTCCATATGTCAGACAGGTAAGCCACTGATGTAATATATCAAACACGAGAGAGCGTGTTTGGCGACATTCCCAAACACCGAGAAGAGAGTTGACAATACGACGCGCAGCAGAGTATTTTTGACGAACTTTGAGATGTTTGGAAATGTGGTCAAACACTGTCTTGAGTGTTTGATATATCTTCTCAATCNGACCTCCGGATCACAAGCCCAGCGCCCTAACCACTGCTACATTTATCTCACGGGGAACTCTTGCAGTACCACGTGACTAAACCCGAACACTTCTCTCTGTATATTGTCAAGAATATCAGCGAAAGTAGAGAAAAATGATCTAAATGGTCTGCCGGTTGTCACCTCGCAAGTTTACGTTGTCCGCTTAGAGACAGTTAACCGACTAGAATTTGATTGTCTGTGTTGTTTGTACGCCAGATATCAGTATGACCCCAATACGAAGATACAACAAGCTATGACTAGCATCTGGGCTGCTCTTGTACCAGAGACCAAGAAAACGGTCAGTATACACTTAATACAGAATTAGTTGTGTACCATACGTGGGAAAACCAAGTCCAGGTCGGGTCACGCAACATCGGAAGAAAGGGACCCTCTTTCCTGACTTTGCGTGACAGAGAGATGGCCAGAACTGGACTAGAGAAAACCGTGTGAACTCAAAACTAAAATTTTGGTTGGAATGTTTCATGTACATGCCTAGGATCAAAAGGAGTTGACTTACGTTGAATTTAAAAATGCACAATTGGTAGTCATTTCTCCACCCTGGTTGCATCTTTAGGTTGACAAATACGTGAATGAGATACTGGAGGACTTGAAGACCAGTTTAGGAAGCAACATATGGAGAGTAAGGCAGTCTAGGTGAGTATGAAAAGCCAAGGGGTGCTAGATTCTGCAGTTTGAGTGTGGAGGTTCTGTACGTCTGTATCACTCCTAAGTATGTATCACTAGTTCGTCCAAGTAGAATTCAACCACGGAGGGGACTCCCAAATAAAAAGGTACGGGGGTGCTGGTCGGGAATTTTGAAACGAGCCCCTAAGAGGTACCAAGATCCTGTTTTGTGAGCGTGGCTTGAAATTTTTTTCACCCCTAAGAGATACCAATTCTAAAACAGCACATTAACTGACGTTGACTTTTTTCGGCTCACTTACCCTGAAAGGTACTGCACAAGCTTCCCCTGTGGATCTTTTCAGGCTAAACACCCCAAGCGGTACCAAAACCGCTTTTTTAACCCCTAAAAGGTGCGACTAGCAACCCCGTCCTTCTTATAGAGGATTCCTCCCCGGGAATTCTAGTGTGTGTGACGGATGTACAGTTAAGTGTACACGATGCAATGTGACTTCACCTCACGTTGCGCATTTTTTACAATTTTAGTTGTATGGCCCTCAGTGATCTTCTCAGCGGTCGATCCGTAGACGACATGCTCGAGTCTCTCCCCAGGCTCTGGGAGCTGTGTTTCAGAGCACGTGATGATATCAAGGTTTGTTGCGAATTTTAACTCGCTCGTACACGTTTTCCGTCGTTTCGCGCCGGCTTTGTATTTCATGTGCTTCTCAAACTTATTAATAATTCATCGAGTTTAAATGAAGGGAATCAGGAATGTGGCGGTGTTTAGATATCTGATCGCAATTACCACAAATTTTTGCGATTTTATTTCTCCTTTTTCTCCTCAGTTTAAGTTTCGATTCAGAAAATATATCAGACACTCAAGACAGAGTTTGACCACGTTTCCAAACACCTCGAAGTTCGGCAAAAATACGCCGCTGCTCTTCTCGGTGTTTGGAAATGTGGTCAAACGCGGTCTTTCTTGTTTGATATATTACTTTTAATTTTGATTGATACAGTGCCCTTTGTGATATGGCCAGGGTGGTTGCTTTGGTTTTCGTTTTGGTTCTTACGACACTAAACAGCTCTTATTCCCTTCGTTTCACGATGTAGGAATCTGTTCGACAGGCAGCTGAAGTGGCGTGCAGGACATTGAGTAAGGTATGAATAATACTCAAAACATCTGGGCTGGTCAGCTAACCTAGAGTTAGCGAGAATTTTGATTTCAGTTTTGCATTTTTTTCGGTGAGCTTTTCTGTTTATATTGTTTGTCCTTCAGTTTTGAGCTNATTTTGAAAAGAACCCCTAAGAGGTATCAAGATACTGTTTTGGGGGTGGCTTGAAATGTTTTTCACCCCTAAAGAGGTACCAATTCTAAAACAGCACATTAACTGACGTTGACTTTTTTCGGCTCACTTACCCTGAATGGTACCGCACAAAGCTCCCGCTGTGGATCTTTTCAGGCTAAACACAGTTAAGTGTACAGGATGCAATGTGAATTCACCTGATGTTGCGTAATTTTTGAAATTTTTAGTTGTATGGCCCTCAGTGATCTTCTCAGCGGTCGATCCGTAGACGACATGCTCGAGTCTCTCCCCAGGCTCTGGGAGCTGTGTTTCAGAGCACGTGATGATATCAAGGTTTGTTGTGAATCTTGACTCGCTCGTACACGTTTTCCGTCGTTTCGCGCAGGCTTAATGTATTTCATTTGCTTCTCAAAATCATTAATGATTCATCAAGTTTAAATGAAGCTAATCAGGCCTGTGGCAGTGTTTGGATATCTGATCTCAATTACCACAAATTTTTACGATTTTTACGATTTTATTTCTCCCTTTTCTCCTCAGTTTAAGTTTCGATTGAGAAAATATGTCAGACACTCAAGACAGGGTGTAGTGTGTGGTGTGGTCTTTCGTGTTTGATATATAACTTTTAATTTTGATTGATACAGCGGCAGCGCTCTTTGTGATATGGCCAGGGTGGTTGCTTTGGTTTTGGTTTTGGTTCTTACGACACTAAAAAGCTCTTTTTTCCCTTTGTTTCATGATGTAGGAATCTGTCCGACAGGCAGCAGAAGTAGCTTGCAGGACATTAAGTAAGGTACGAATGATACTCAAAACATCTGATGGTGAGATTGTCCTCACAAAAGCTAAGTGTATTTACACAATAAACTTGACTTGACTTGACTTGACATCTGGGCCGGGTTGTTCAAAGTCCGATCAACTAACCTAGAGTTGGCGAGAATTTTTATTCCAGTTTTGCATTTTTTCGGTGAGCTTTTCTATTTATATTGTTTGTCCTTCAGTTTTGAGCTTGAATAATCTCAAACTGCCCAAAGCTTGAGAATTGAAAAACATTTTTATACAAGAAAAATTGTTACTTCGGTTAACTTTTAATCCTGGGTTAACGTTAACCGGCCTTCGAACAACCCGGTCCTGCTGTTTTAAAGGAACTTTGTCGATGATTTTAGCCAAATTTAGCCGAATAGAGTGAAAAGACAATTGTCCAATTAAAACAGTGGGAGTGAAGGAACGTTTTAATAACACAACAAATACAAAAGATGGTACGGATGGACAAAAATTGAAGAGGATTAAAACGGACTACGAGATGGGTTTTTGAAAAAAAAAAGGTTAGGCTGAACAGTTTTCAAAGTTCATCTCGTTTGTTTGTCGCCTTTAATCAAAACCCCCGCAGACATATTTATTTGTAATGAAGCGATGGTTTTGTCATTTAGATCCATAGAAGTGATTTCTTTGCTAACGTTAAGTTTCTTAGCGAGTATTTGGCAAAACTTAATAAAATATACTAAACTCGGCCGCGGCCGAGTCCCTTAAATCTGAAATACTGGTTGATTTACCCTTCTTAACAACTGCTTTTGGATAAAAAAAAACTACATGTGTCTTTCTTGACTGTTTAGGTCTCCATTCGTGTGTGTGATGTGAATCAAGGCAAGCTGGGTGAAACAGCCATCGCATTAGTTCTCCCTACTCTGTTACACAAGGGCGTGGCGAACTCAGCAGAAGAAGTAAGATCTATCAGGTATGAAATTCGACACGGAAGCTTTCAATCGATCGATCGATCGATCGATCGATCAATCAATCAATCAACTTTATTTAGAGAGGGTGACACATGAGAGTATAAACTGATAAACTAGTGGCCCTCTGTGTTAAGAATCTACGAGTTCAATGTTCCCTGTTGCGAACTGTTTGCTACTCTCCCACATAGATATGGAGACGAAAAAATGGAGTTGAATTTGTAGGATTTTAACCAATGTTCAGACCCATTTGGGTACTAGAAACTGTTTTGCCTGTTAACCTGTCCCTTAAAGCTGTCCAGTTGTACTCATTTTCTTTGTTATTCCTTCTTTTTACAGTTTGTCTACAATAGTGAAGATCAGCAAGAATGCGGTATGTTTCATTACCTAGTGGTGTAGTTTTTTTTTTTCGGGCGCGTCCGTCATTTTCCAGTTTTTTTCCCGCCATAATCTGGTGCCTTGCTCGCAGCTTCTTTTTCTTTTTCCCGCCGAATATGTTCGTTTGTGTGCGGAAAGGAACGTATTTGAGAGAGTTAGTACTAATACAGTCTGCCTAACGCCTTGAAAGAAACTTTGAAAGGAACATTTTAGCGCTATAAGAAGTGTTTGAAGTTTTATAACCTAGTAAAAACTTCCTACGAATGGTTCACTGATCAGAGCTGTGTTCTCCGTAGGGCGCTTTGCTGAAGCCTCATATTCCACTGCTGGTTATTGCTCTCCTGGAATCACTCAGTGGCTTGGAAAACCAGGTTTGATAATAGGGTATTTTTGTCTTCTGTTTGTGTATTAGCATTTTTCCTGAAAAGTAACTGGTTTGCTTCAAGGACAGTACAGATGTAATGCATTGTAACCTTATACACTTTATCTACAAGTGAGGTAATCGCTTTCAGTAGTGTGCTAAACTTGTTTGTTTTTATCCAAAAGTCGATGAACTATTTGAGTCTGCAACTCCATAAACGTGAAGACGCTCAAGAGATGGTATGTTAATCCTTAAAAATTTAATCTATAGTAACTCCTTCCCATTATTCAAGTCAATAACAAAACCTGAACGAATGTTGAAGTTTATCACAGTCTAGCTGTATTGGAATTTTTGTGTTTGACATGTCAGTTTTAATCTTCTTTTAGCTTGAGGGAGCGAGAATTGCTGCATCAAAGATGTCTCCCATGATGGAAACGATCAACATGGTAAATATTATACTTACCTTCTTGTGTTCTATGGTACAATCATTGAATCAATATTGTGAGTACTGGAGGCCTTTATTACCCTATTTCTGGTTCTGGTAAAACTAACACTATGTCAATAATAGACACAACTCTGCCTTCGGCCAATCCTAAACCAACAGTTTGAGAAAATGAACACTCTTGGATTCAGGATATACAAATGAGAACTGAAGCTAGGTACCCGGCAATATTGCTGTAACACGTGCATATAATGCTCCTTCGATTTTTGGAATGATAGCTTTTTACAATACAAATCGCAATGACGCTTTAAAAAAGGAGCTGACAGTATCCCAGTTCATAAATGTTAGAGTTTGTTCGTTGAATCTTGTACTGCTCGCTCAACCCTCTTGTCATTTTTCAGTGTGTGCAATATGTTGACGCAACCGTTCTTCCAGCACTAGTGCCCAGACTGTCCGATCTCTTACGAACCGGGGTTGGACTGGGAACTAAGGTAACGTTATTTCTTTAGACTTTGGTTATTTAGCTTTCCCACAATTAAATGCTTCAGTTATCCTCATGTTGCCAAGATTGAGGGGAGGCAATTCGTGCAAACGCTTATATTTGGCGTTGTTTTTCAGGCAGGAAGCGCTGGTTTTGTTGTGTCTCTTGCAATGCAGTGTTCTCAGGATTTGACGCCATTTGCCGGTAAGACTCTCATGAGATATTGGTTGTTTACCACTTACCCGAAAATTGCGGAAATTTCGGTCAGAAATTTAAAATTTCCAAGTGGAAAATGTGCTTACCATTTGCGATTCTTCCCCGCCATCTTGGGATTATGATCAGGTCGAATTCATCCTAGTCTCTCTCGATAAATTAGTGTTTTTTTGAGTAAATGGACAATCCCAACGGAACTTACCAGCAGCCATATAAAAAAGAACGGGAATGCTCTTCGGAAATTTTGTAAAGAGCCCCTAAGAGGTACCAAGATCGTGTTTTGTGGGCGTGGGTTGAGTTTTTTTT